CTGGCAAAAAGGAGTGAAATGGGACACAAATAGTAGGACCATACATGATATCTGCTATACATCTAGCCAATGTTTTCTTGCAAAACATTTGATCAAAAAAAAAACATGTCAAATTAAAGGTGTTCTTGGTTGCGCTTGAGGAGACAGAAAAAAGTCCCCACGTCCACCATTTATGAATTACAGCCTAGCAGAGTTGGCTCTGATGTATGAAATGGACGGGCGAGGCTTTTACCGAGGAAAATGGGGCCCATTAATGTAAATGGAAGACTATCACGGCCTGTAACACAAACCCGAAGCAGAACTCAGTGTTTCCACTGCCCGCTGTGAGAGCAATTATGGTGGGATACACAAATGTACCGTAATGGATAAAACTAATCGGTGCCCTCAGATTCTCAGGGAGTAATCCATTTGTGGAGGGAGGTGTCCACTCTGAGAACACCGCAAAAGCGGACCGCGCACACCACTGACTCATGCCTGTATAATCACATTATCAAAACTTTATAAGGTTAACCTTTATGCTTGTTTCTACGTAAGTGGCATATATAATATTCATATACCTAGACATCAAATATTTACGTTAAATTGCTAATTGATATAATCTTGATATCCACGCACAGTCAAGTTTGGTGTATTAGTGAATAAATGAATTCATAAGGACTATTCACATTGTGTATTCGCAGGACTATTTTTGTCCAAGGTAAGTGTTCTATAATGTGTTATTGGTGCTTAGCTTTATGTTGTTTTGCACCTGTTGTGATTTCCTAAGCCCGTAGGAAAGCAGCAAGTATTCATATTTTTCTCAGTTAGATTTTGCAGCAGGAAGAGCAACATAAAAGTGTCAACACACTAACCTAGCAATGTTGTACTTTTTTTTTTTCGTTTTAGATCTAGGCCGAATATTCTGGTGGCTGACCTTAATATTTCCAGATGAGATAATTAAAACCTGCCCTCGCTCAAATATGGAGGTTCATCTGCAATGTTGTAATTAAAATTAAGCATCTACAAGCCTTCTGCTTACAGATAATTGACAGCGCTTCACCTAATGTGAGGGACTCTGCTGTCAGTAGTGATATCGTTGCAACACCATGGTGAACACTTTTATTGTTAGGCCACGATGGACAGGACATGAGTATTTATAAAAAAAAATTTAAAAAAAGTTTGTTGTTGTACTGCTATGGCAGCAGAACTGAATGTAACCTGCAGTCACACAGGGAGTGTTTTCGTCCTTTCTGCTTCATAAGTAAGTGCAACCATAATTTAACTTGCCCATTTGTTGCTATGGATCATTCTCAGCACAGCAGCAACACTGACGTGGAAAAAGGCTTTTTCCATGCCTGTCATTTGCCCACTTGTCCCTCATTAGTGGTTGGTTTCTAATCCTGAGACCATTATTTACTTTTTCTTGTTGCTGGGGTGGTACCATAAAGAGTAAATATTTTATACCTGTAGTATGCATCTTTTACTTGGAAAGGTACATGTGGTGTACTTTAATTAGCTCGTAGAGTAATGTACAATTATGTACAGTGTATGGTCACAATCATGGACATTAATATGGAGTTGGTCTCCCTTTTGCTGCTACAGCCAATTCTCTTCTGAGAAGGCTTTCAGCTAGATTTTGGAACGTGGCTGCTGGGAATTTGTGACCGTTCAGCCACAGGAGTTTGGGCACTGATGTCTGGCAAGACGGCTTGGTGTGTGGTTGGTGTTCCAGTTCATCCCAAAGGTGTTCCGTGAGGTTGAGGTCAGGGTTCTGCGCAGGTCACTCGAGTTCCTCCACTCTAACCTTGGCAAACTGTGTCTTCATGGAGCTCGCTATGTGCACAGGGGTACTGTCACGGTGGAACAGGTTTGGGCCTCTTAGTTCCAGTGAAGGGAAATATTAATGCTACAGGATACAAAGACATCCTATAAAATTGTGTGATTCCAACTTTGTGGCAACTGTTTTGGGGAAGAATCGCATATGGGTGTGATGGTCAGGTATCAGGACACTTTAGGCTGTATAGTGTACCTTAAAATTCCTTATGCATGCAGTTTGTACTATATTCACATTTCTATGGTCAAAAAAAAATGTCCTTGATGATACCACTGCAGAAAGAAGGGAAAGTCAAATATGTAAGTTGATACAGTACTTTGTGTACTTTACGACTGAGAGTGCTGTGAATGATCCACCACCCAAATAACATCTGGGCAGTAGTGGTCATTTAGTGGCCCCCCCGTACACTTATATAGTCTCAGACAGGAGTGGAACTCGATGTGGTCTTCTGCTGTTGTAGCCTATCCACCACAAGGCTTGTCATTTTGCGCATTTTGAGATGCTTTTCTGCTCACCGTGCTTGTAAAGAGGGGTTATTTGTGTTACTGTAGCCTTTCTGTCAGCATGAACCGGTGTGGCCATTCTCCTCTGACCTCTCTCAACAACAAGGCGTTTCTGTCTGCAGAACCGTTACTCACTGGATGTATGTAGTTTTTCCGCACCATTCTTGGACAGCTCTAGAGTAAAATGTGTGTTCAGCAGTTTCTAAATTACTCAAACCAGCCTGTCTGCCAGCAACAACCATGCCACAGTCAAAGTAACTATCGATGTGAACCGCACCTGAATCTCAAACTGTATCTGCATAATCTTATGCATTGCACTGCTGCCACATATGTGTCTGATAGAATATTTGCATGAATGAGCAGGTGTACAGCTGTTGCTAATAAAGTGGTGAAAGTGTGTGTGTTTGAGTGTATGTGAGTGAGTGTATGTGAATTCATCAGATCCTGCTGCTTCATGCCAGTTTCCTCCCTTTTGATAATTATGCACACAAAAGCTGCTTGAGTAATAGCTTCAACTTGCTAAATGTGAGTCAGTGTGGGAGTTAAAAGGCAGGTCCATGAAGTAATTAGTGCCTCAGTAAGTGTTACAGTAAAGCTAACACAGAGCCATGTTCTCACTTTGGCCCAGGCCTACCAGAGCTGAACGCTCGAGCTTTCTGAGGCAGAGAAAAGGGGGAAAGTATTGTTATATGTACTGACAAGAAGGCCAGAGTACTTGAAAAAAGCCAGAGAACGAAAAGCATTGTCTGACATATTCTTTGATTTGAAAGGAAGATGATAAAGAATGAAAGAGAGCGAGAAACAGAGCGAGAGAGTGACAGAGAGAGGGAGAGGGAGAGAGACGGTAAAAAAACACATTCTTAATGTACTGTAGAACCAGCTGAGATCTGGACTCCAGGTGCACCCTGTTCACTCCTTTATAGACTCCTCACTTCGCAGAATCCAGAATGGTTGCATTAGTTCAGCACAAACCCTTTCCCCCACCCCGAGAGCTATCATTTCAAGAAACTCTTTTCAGTGGCCAATAAATAGTTTTACACTTGGAAGTTGTAAACCTCATCTTGAGTGGTTTCTGGCAGCTACATATTGAGAGATTGACTTTCAAAGCTCAGATTACCCTCTGACTCTTGCCACATCATTTATCGGAATTTCAAGCTATAATCTACGAGCTGAAATGGTAATTCAAGATACATATGATCTTTTAATATGACATGGTGTGAAGGCATGGTTTTCTGTCATATTTTTTTATGATTTCCAGAGCTGGAGACACGGTAGATTACAGCTTGGAAGCAGCAGACTGCAAAGAAACAAAAAAAAAAATCCTGCTTTTTTTTACACATGTAAAGCAGAGGTGGATGTCACCCAGCTTTTCTGTGTTGTTTAAACCCATCAGATCTAATCTGAACATAATTAGCTATTAAGAAAGTTTGAATCTAATGTCTAATCAGGGGTTTGGGAGAGTGCAAAGCCAGCAATGTTGCATTAGAGAGCTGTGTGATGCAATGAGGTTACACACTTAATAAGCACTCTTGTTAATTATGCTAATAGGGTAGAAGAGCACTGCTGGGATAATGACTGGATAATATTTAGTAGCCCCATTTAATAGACGTAGAGCCAAGTGATAGGGAGACCCAGCCAATTAGTTGAGCATCATTCTTTGCTTTTTCCTCATGTCTCCCCCTGTGAGCCTCTCGCTCAGCCTCGAAAATCGAATAATCACCATTCGGGTACTTGTACATTTCCAGAACAAGTTATTATGTAGGAGAAGAATGTGGCTTGTAATGTTCTGTGCTGTCAGACTGGTTTGGAATAAAAGATTATCCTGACCAGCGATGCAAAGTTAAAGATTCTGAAGATATTTCTGATAACTCTCATAATTGGTCCACAGTAAAAGAACCAACCGAGCAAGTCTTTGAGCACAGCCAAATTGAGAGAAAACATAAAAGTAATGGGCCTTTTAAACCCCATCGGGACAAAATATCAGCATTTTTAATCTCCATTTATTTCATAAATCATATATAAAACCCATTATGTGTTATGGAAGACTTGATAGTGTACAAATGTTGACCTTTTGGGGGGGTTTTTTTTGTTCGTTTTTTTCAGCCTCTAACAAAATTAAGTCGTGAGGCTATTACACTTGGCTTATGCTACAGGCTATCTAGGGAATTTTCTATAGTAGCCAATAGTACAATAGGCAGGTGAGAGTCAACAACATCCAGTAATCCACTATACAGTCTAGCATCTCGATTTGAGTTCAATGGTGTTCAAGGATATATCATTAACCAGTCTTCACAGGTTCCAGCAAAAAAAATCCAGCCCAACTAAAGTCCACAAAATCCACACAAAATGCCTGAAAAATTGAGCATTATTCTTCTCTTTCTCAGCCTTTGCAAGTATTCGACATGTATTTCTGACATGCACACATTATCCACTCCATAATCTCCATTTGCCTTATCCTAGATCTTATCAGTCTGGCAACCCAGTCATCAACCTTCCTGTCCACAGCTCCTTCCCCGAGGATTTGGCAGAGTGATTCCTGCCCCAAGGCACCTCTATTAGTGCTTGTTTACCTTTCAGGCTGGTTTGCCATACAATAAAAGAAATACAGTGGGGTCCACTAAAGAAAGTGCTTCTACTGTGCATTCTTACAAATTTAATACAAAATATTTAAGTTCAAATAATTGTCCCTGGTGGTCTACTGGCTAAGGATCCTGCATTCTCACCACTATGGCCTGGGTTTGATTCCCAGGCAGGGAACCAACCCAGCCACTGGGTGTGTGCTCTCAGTGCTGGTCCCAAGCCCGGATAAAATGGGAGGGTTGTGTCAGGAAGGGCATCCAGCGTAATACCTGTGCCAAATCAAACATGCGGACCAATGATCCACTGTGGCTGAACAACGACGACGTTTAATTTCAAATAATATTATCAGCAATAACCTGAGACAAAATTAGCATTTTAGAAAATATTTACACACACTTAAAAATTTCTTTGTATTTGGTACGTCTCCATTTTGCTTTAATGACAGTTTGCACTCAAGCTGGCATGGACTCCACACGTTTGCGTAAAACCTGATGATTCATGTTAGATCAAAACCATGGGAGTGTCGCCTGAACATGTTCTTCAGTGGAAGAGATGAATCTCAAAGAATATTTCCACAGCAAATTTCAACAGTGGCCCTACAAATATTTAAGATTTTGAACATTTGCGTTTCTTAATTTGAATTATTTCTTCTGTTTATTCCCAGTTGTAAATGAAATAAAAACAACAAACAACAGACTTTCAATGAGAGCTATGACTTTTAGGCGTCACTGTATGCTGATGCCAATATAGAGGTTTAACCCTCTTTAACTCTTTTAAGGTTAAAGGCACACTCGCCGAGCCTACTATTGATTTAAACTTCAGTTCCGTTAGCTAACTGATGGGATAGATTGGGAAGAACTCATTAAACCTGATTTTAAGGAGAAATAAGAGAGAAATCATTGTGATATGTTGATTTGGATCATTTTGTTGGGCCTCTATTATTGTTGCTCAGATGCTTGGGTGCAGTCTACAATGTCTGATAATGACTCAGATCAGACACATGCCGATGCACAACATAAATAAGTAAACCAATCAACTCGCCTTGATATCTTGCCCTTGATCAACGTAGGAGAACAGAGCAGAGCCAAGAACCAAGCAGAAATTGTTCACTAAACAATTTCACAGAGTGAGGTTTTAATGTGCCTAGGAAAAAAATGAACTAATGGACTGATTTGGCTTACCAGAACCAGAAGAATTGAAGGAGGAAACAAACTTCAAGGGTAATGACATCAGTGATTTGGTGGGGTGAATGTCGGGGTGGCTGTGGGTGGCTGTATCTGTGCTCTGAAACAGGGCTCGATTGCTCCCAGACACAGATTCAACCACAGAAGGCCTGATTGGAAACAGCATACCACTGCAGAATAAGAGAAAAACACTGCTGTTTAACTGAACCCAAAAGAGGATGCCTGTTCATATTTAGTTCCTGCAACAAGAAACAAAACATAAGGCAAAATCGCCCTTGAATTATATGTACACGTGCGTGTGTGTGTGTGTGTAACAATGGCTATATGGAGGCTATAGGACCGTGGAGCATGACCTCCTGCTTTTCCATGCAACACATATATAATAATTAGTCAGTACATTGTGGAAAGGATGATTACATGGGGAGAGGTCTCTAAAAACACATGTTCTTGTCTAGGCACAAACAAGCATCCCCCTTCTCTTAACCCTGGGGCCCATGAGGAGAATATGGTGATGCTGTGGGAACATGTTATCATTTCCAGGATAAGTTTTCTGGGGGGGGAAACAGTCTCCAAATACTTTTTTGGAATCACATATGGTTGTGGTTGTTTTTTTTTTGTAAGTTCCTACTCTACCTAATCAAACCAAATGGCCTATTAATACTATATATACTGTATTTAAAGAACAAGAGGAGCATGTATTGGAAAATTGACTGGATGGTACCTAAAACACACGAGTGACTCCTGTATTTGCCCAATCACCTAGTAAGAAGATGAAATATGATAAACAATTTCAGACAATTGCAACATCCAATAAGTCTACATCTAGTAATTGTCCCAGTGTTTGTAATGCAATTTAAAAAGACTGGACAGAACAGTGTGCTTAGGTAAGTATTTTGTGGCTCTGGTAACAACAGGCCTCATTTATGTATGCATGTACAGTATGTATGTACGTATGTAAATAATAATAATAATAATAATAAGTAAATAAATAAATATAGTTAGTTTTTAACAAAGTTGCGTGTAAATATTTTTGTACGTCAAACTGAACTAAAAATTCATGCCAAGTTTACAGTTTCAGTAACTTTTCTTTGTACTCATGTATGTATGCCTATGAATGCCAGTTCTGAAGATACTGAACACGACAAAATGAAGACTACATGTGAACAATCGCCTCCTAAGCGTGGCGTCCAGCTCAGCCATTACAGCGCATCAGCTTCCACAGACACACACTAAATCTTACTCCTGTTATAGGGTGCCATTTCTTTTGCCCTAGTCAAATAATTAGTCTTACTTGTCTTAAATGATGGACTTCTTATGGATTGCTTTCTCTCAAGTCAGTAATATGAAGAGATTGAGTTTCACAAAATCTTTCCACTAAATTTGTGTTTGTGATCCAAATAAATCAATTATTCAAACTTTACAATCTATACAATACAATACAATACAATCTGTTTTGGCCATGCTTTCCACTTTTCATATATTCAGTGGCTCCCAAAGTACCATTCCTATCAAAATCTCATCCAGCCTATTGGTTTTTAAGTTGGAAATTACAGTTCTAGGGCCTCAGGTTGGATTCTGAGCCTGGATTTCTGTCCCTAATGGAGTTTCACATGTTCTCCCTGTGTCCATGTGGCTATCCTCTGGGTTCTCCGGTTTCCTCACACGTCCCAAAACCACGCTGTTAGGTGGACTGGTGACTCCAAATTGCTCCTAGGTGTGAATGAGTGTGTGCACTGGTGTCCCATTCGGGGTGTATTTCCACCTCATGCCAAGAGTTCCCATGACAGATGATTTGACAAACATTTTTTGGATCCACACAGGCACGTTCTAGAGCATGTGCAGATATAATCCAGAGGTGATGGCTAAATGGTGCATGTGCTCAGCAAGATTCAGTGCATACACGTTTTAAAAGCCATCCATCTGTTTTCAAAGGATCTCAGCCCAAAAGGCTGGTGGTGAAATGTGTTTAGGAGCTGAGTTTTGGTGTTGACAGCAGTGCAGAGAGCCTCTCGTTATGAGCGCAGGAAGGGGGGAAAAAAAGCAGAATTCCAATGCAATTAAGAGAGACAGACAGAAAGAAAACGCCTATCATCTTGACAACTGCAGATCAAAGATTTTACACAAATATACAAAAATATACAGATTAGCAGGCAGTAAGATGAATATCTCCTCTAATGAATAACAGCTTGGATCTGTGGATGTTTTTTTTTTTTTTTTAAACAGAGTGCAGTTTAGCGGTACTGTTCTAGGAATCAAGGTTATTCATCACGGCCTTTAAGGTGCAAGCTCTCCATGGCATACGAGAGCGGATTCTGATGTTGACAGTGATGCTGCTAGCTTGAGGAATATCAATGGAGGGAAGTCAATGAAAGCGAGCAACCAGAGCTGTCACCAATCCGCAGCCATCACCAGCAGCTCCCTCCAGGTGACCATGGCCCATGGGTCTGCATTGTGAGAAATATTAGCTTTTTTTTTTTTTAAAAAAACCTCGCCCACTAACAAATCCACGATAACACGGAGCACTTGAAGCAAGGTGAAGTGCTTTTTATCTTGTTTCTCATGAACATGGACCAAAGACAGAGGCAGGGCCCGGAAGTGAGGGCTTAAAGAAAGACCTGATGTCAATCAATTTTGGGTTTCAAGGAAATAAAAAAAAAAGTGCACCCTTGTTCAACAGTCACTTGAGGATTCATCAGGCATTAATTAGCTGTACTTTATTCTGTTTCTGAGGGAGAAAAGCTTCCATCCAATAAAACGACCCGAAAAGCCTTTCAGGATTGAAGGAGCGGAGGCAATTGATAAAGCTTCCAGTAGTGAGCTTACCCCCCCCTTATTTTTTGAAGAGAATGCAGGTTGGATGAGGAAGAAAAGGCACCTTTCCTTCTGCCCTACTGCAGAACTCACAAGTGAAACCAATTAGGGTAATTGAAAACAGAAGATGTGTCCAATAGTTTCAGAGGAGAATGCAGCAACAGTGAAGTGTAGTTAGAGGCCGCACAAGAATAAGAGGAAAATTGGCAATTATTTACGTCTCACATGCCAACGCAATTATCCAGCCGCTCTACACAGGAGGGGGTTCTTGTAAATAAACAATAGGACAGGCAAAAAGCTGGCAGGTGGGGGGTATTAGGTGAAAAATTTGCCCACTGGGGAGAAAAAGCCCTCTTGATGGGAGGCACTGGACCATACCTTTTGCATAATACCCCTTTTAGGAAAAAAGCACCAAGTTGTCAGAAGCATCTGAACGGTGGACACGCTAGCCAATGGACCTGTCAGGAAGGTCTCGTGGTGAGCTTTAGCCAAACATTTTGCCTTGCATGTCAAATCATGCATGGGCGCTCATCGTTCTCTTGTTTCTTGTAAGTCAAACAGTTTTCAATCCTTTTTTCCCCATTTCTTCCATGTCTCTGATGGCAGCACGCAGCAATTTGTATTGATCAGCCTGCCAGCTTTTGTGTGGGCTCTTATTCAACAGGGTGACTCTGAGGAAGCAGCGTTTATTGATATCAAAATACGGCAGGCAGGTGTCTCATAAGTAGTTAGCACAGCTGGAGAAAAATGATGGGGGGGGATTTTTTGACACATTGCTCCTGTTTTGGGCGAGTGGGATGCGCCAGTTGAAATTAGCATTTAAACTACTTGCTCACCAGGCATTAGCTAACCTTGTGTGCTCAGTCAATATGCCCCCTGCTACCCTTTAAAAACTCCTGTCACTCTTTTATGACTTGCTATGAAATGCTCCAAAGTCTACTTGAAGAGCTTTCATTGTTGCACTCAACACATGACTTACAAACATAAGTGATGTTTCAGTTAGAGAAGGTTTGGATTCTGCCATGTCAATTTGTACTCATTATTTAAAGAAGCAGCTAAGCCTTTTGGGGCTGAAAATGAGCCAAAAAAAAATGATATAGATAAGCAAACTCACTACTAAACTGGGTTTCCAGAGCACTGTTACTGGCATACGCCTCTTCCATTGAGGAAAGCGCAAGTATG